CTCGCTCTCTCTCTCGCTCTCTCTCTCTCTCTCGCTCTCTCTCTCTCTCTCGCTCTCTCTCTCTCTCTCGCTCTCTCTCTCTGTCTCTCTCTCGCTCTCTCCCTACCGTTAAGTAACTTGTGCATTGTTTTACTTACTTGTTTTTGACTTTCCAGTGATGTCTGTGAGAAAGGTATATTCACTCGACAAGCTCGCGCATGTGCGCCGCCGCGCGCTCAATCCACTCAGCGTGCTTTGTTAATCAGCTCGCGCACATCAGCTATACAGGCGTTAATACTGAATGTTTAACATTATATTTATTGCATACATATACTTCGTAGTAGACATCCATAACTCCTTTCTGCTGTCTGTTGTCAGTGTTTCTTTGTTTAAATATGGCGCTTATCACATGCTGTGTGGTATCGGCGTTTGGTATCGGGGCATTTTAACGAGTACGAGTACGAGTACAGGAGGCCAGTATCGGGCCCGATACCGATACCAGTATCGGTATCGGTGCATCCCTAATATATATATATATATATTTGACTCGTGTAACCTTGTATTCGAACAAATAAGCTTATTATGACATCAACATTTTAAATATAAATTAAATTTCACAATTTTGACACCACAGCAAAAACTACTAGCCTAACTAATAAAGTTCAAACATGAGTGAACAGTCAAGTAAATAGAGAACAGCAAAGGAATTAAGATCTAGAGAAAGTCTGCTGTACTAAATAATATAAAATTAATTCAAGTCAGTGTTTTAAAAGGTGACATCTGTGATGTTATTTTTTGTGTTTTGGGTGGTGCAGTCCCTATACTTAAAATGTGCAGTGACAGTCAGTTGAGCAACAAGCACACAGTACATCTCAGATCTCACAACGTGTACATTCTTTTAAGGTAGCCTGGCAAAACCGGTCTTTGTAAGTCCGTTGTTTGCATTCTTAGAATTGCAAAAAATACTACAGTATATAATACAGTCACTCACACAGACAGATTGCACAGCGTACGCACACAAACATTCAGGAGGACAGAAACTTCTTGTCAATGCCGCCCTGCACCTTTTATTAACCAAATAGGGCTTAGTTCATTACACCTATTGTGGATTATACCATGCCTGTATTGCAGTATATGTTCTATGTAAATGGTTGTTGCTAGCTATAGCTACTGTTACTTTCAGGTTGGATTAGATTTGGTTGATTATATTAAAGTTTATTTGGAACTTCTATCGGTTGTGCTATAAACTTACAATATTCATATTAAGAGGGAAATATTGTGTATTTAACTGTGAATTATGTGCATGTAAATAGTTTAACTGTATTCTCAATTTGCTTTCTCTCACAGAGAATAAAACGGACCGTTATGTCGGTATGTCAAACTTGATATGAACAGTTTCACATCAGAGTTTACATTTCAGCTTTTCTGTGTTTACATGTGTATGAATGTAAATTATTGTTAAAGTCTACTGTGATCAGACCTTTATAAGAAATCTGTTTTCTGCCTCTTATCTGTGCAAAGCTTGTATTTTTCATTTAATTGATGGTCCAGCATCACAATAATATCAATATAATTTAATTTAAATAAACCAAAACAAGTTTTATTTACCTTGCATTGTTTCTTCTTTTCATTTAGAGATTTGTGGTCGGAAAATGCTCATATTAACCGGTTAACCGTTAACTGACAGTAGGAATTTTGACTGATAAATTACTTTTTAAACCGTTTAACTGATTGTATTAAAGTAATTTAAAAATGTAAAAGTAATTTTTCAAAATATTTAGAAAAAAATTGCTGCATGGTTGAAATACTATAAAATACATATAAAATATAATTGCATTTTTGAGAGAGAGAGAGAGAGAAAGAAACATAAGTCGCATACAAGTCAATTTATTATTACATAATAGTAGATAATAACAGAAATAGGCCTAATAAATATGTGAAATGTTTACAAACAAACACTACTAACATAGCTAGGATATAGTTTATTTTAGTTCCCCTCACTCCACAACAAATCCTTTCAATCTAAGAGTATTCAGACCAGAACATGAATGAAAAATATAAGAAGCTATACTGTTCGTGATGTGACCATGTGAATCCTCATGTTCTGTTGCTTGCTGCTTTTTGCTCATGTAAAATTACTCCCTGGAAAACCAATTTTATTATTTTCACAGACACAAGTTCATTCTAATTGAACATTATCTTGTCGGTTAACGGTTAATAATCGGTTAACGAGCATCGGTTAGGAGAAATAACTGAAATGAACTTCCCTGAGGGGGCTATGAGGAACCATCTCAGATCTCGTGATGGCCTGAATGTCAGCATTGCAGCTCAGAGTGGAAGCCATATTACAACACCTGTTTTCTCTAATAATAACATCACAGGCAATGTTCAGATCATACATAATGCACCTGGTAAAGTCTGTTATTTATGTTGATAATATAGGATTTTTTTTCTGAAAACATATATTTATTTTAGATTATTATATATGTGACTGTAAATACTGTGTATGTAACATATCTAAATATATCATGAAAGAATCTGTAATCTTTTGCAGGTGTCACTGGGCATCTCCCAAACACCCAAAACGAGAGAAAACAGACCTTAGGTACAGTAAATGATTAATGATGGTTTTACTTGTCATTTCAAAGAGGCTTTGAATATTTTATCTATTACATTGTATGACCAGAATTTTTTGGATCACAACACCTATAGTGTATGTGCTTGTTGAGCATAAAATTTCAAAACCATGGTTGTTGTTAGGTGGTTGGTTCTCCCTAACAGCTTCCACTCTTTTGAATCACTTTCTCCGATATGATGGAAAGTTAATGATGTCCACTCTTGGCCAAATGTTGTGCCTGCAAATTCTGAATAATTTCATAATTCAGTACAGGTGCATAAACAGGATCAAGAAATCATTACATTGTTGTGAAGCATACTTATCTTTTGATGTTGTTTTCCATGTAAAGTGTAAGGAAATTAGCCACATTTCTAGTGAAATGAGTTTAGTGGAGCTCCTGAGCTACAATAGCTTTTTAACAATATATGAGATATCCACGATACTGCAGCGGTCACCAGAGCGAGTGCTCTTCCTCGTCGATGGATTCGATGAACTTAAATACACAGAAGACTTTTATCGCATGTTGCCACCCACAGATCAGTATCAGAAAGCCCCTGGATTTGAGACTTTAGTCTCTGCAACTTTACTGATCTTCTTTATGCACCAAGAGCTTGTAACACTCCAAAGAGAAAGGAAAAATTGAAATCGCATCATACGACCCCTTTAAGTAGAAAGGTTTTGCTCCATTTTGCCTTGCAACTCTTTTTTGCAGATTTGTTTGTTTAATGCATGTATGTTCTGTCTAATCAGTCTGGTCATAAACATGCATAAAAAACCTTCATATTCATGACGTGTCATGTCATGATTATGTAGGTGTCATGTCATGATTATGAAGGTGTCATGTCAGTCTTATGCACACCCCTTCAAGTAAAGTGTAACCAAATATTCATCAAATGAGCACAAACATGTGCAATGCATACAGCACTTTAAATGTATTGTAGTAGCCTAGACACTTGGGAAGACATACAATTAATGCTAAATTACATAGCTGCATAAATGATTTTTATTTTTTTTAATGGAAAAAGCTGCAAGAATAGTGGCTTCAAAACACGAGGACAGGCTAAAACAAAAAGAAACCGAACAAAGAGAGCAATAAATTATTGAAGACAAAAATCCAAAGCAAAGTGAGAAACAGTACAACATAAGGGGTCATGACAGCATGAAAAGCACTTTTTTCATATTCTTTGATCTTTTCACATATAAGAGATTGTTGTTCTATTAAAACGTCTTAAAAGTTTCATGGCTTCCTCTTCCAAAAGTCCTCCTCATTATTTAAAAAAAACCCCAAACATTTATTTAACCACGCTCCAAAAAAGGCTTGGATATTGTGGGATCTGTGATGTCACATGGGCAAATAAATTGCCATATCACTGCCTCCGGAGCATGATATCAAATAATAGTTATACATTGCACCATAGGCCCCGCCCTATACCGTTTAGTTGCTTAACGCTGCAGTCACACTAGACTTTGCGCATGGACACTGCAAAGGTTGTAATATGATGTTGATGTCACACTCTCCGGTGTCTTTTTTTAAAAAGATACTTCTACATATACTGTATATTACACCCAAAATGTAAAAATATGTAATCTACTTCACTTTACTGCAATACTTATATCCTGCTGATTTTAAGTTTGGGGTCTTTTAATTCAGCTAAGAGGCCACACGGATCTTCTATTGGTCGCACATCTTCACATGATATGAATTTGCAGAGCGAAGTTCACCAAATTTGAACTTTGGAACGCGGCGAAATGGACATGATCTTGTGTTTTCTGTCTCCTGGATTCAAATCCGTATGAATGGAGGTCAGTATAACAAAAAGTAGTGTGACCAGCCCTTAATGAGTGACACCTGGTTACACCAGACATGAGTGTCACATCAAAAGCAAATTATACTATTATAATCACTGATGCTGTCAACACAGATGCCTGATCAGTTATTGACATACTCCATGAACTTGAGCCCAATAATTTTTTACTTCCTTTAGTGCAAAGTGGCTTCGTACAGTACATTTCTGATTACATATTCATTACTTTTTGTATACGGAACTGTGTGTTTTCAGAGGGATGGGGGTGAATGGGTAAATGTACGCCCCCTGTTACCTTTCAAAATAACTCCTATAGTTTGACAAATACTTTCCAGGAAGTGGTTTACAGGTGTTGCCTGCAAAGGCGGTGAGGAATCTCTAACAGAAATCTATAGAAACCACATGCATATGGTTTTGCATTCCTGTCTGAGCCACATGTACAACAATTTTACAATAAAAAAAATAAATGTACTGTTGCTTTAAAAAAGACAGAATTTACATATACAAATATCTTTAACACCCTAAATCAGCTACAATGGGAGCACATTGCACATGGTAAATATTCTGCTTATTTACACTGAGAATAACACTGCCTTCCTGAACACATGAAGTCCTTTATTACTTTTAATCACTGTAAGGGTTCAGCTTTATAAGAAGCTCACTTTTATTCTGATTGTGGATGTGCAGATTCATACCCGGCTGGCTGTTTACTGACCACAGCATAAATAGTGTTTTCAGCTTCAGTTTTGGGGGGTTTTGGTTGCTGCTGAATGGTACAGTAGATAGTGACTGGTGCATCTGGCTTGCTCTTCTCTGTGAGTGATGAACTCTGAAATAAAGAAGAACAAAATCAGCTTCAGATCATTTAAAAAAAAAAAAAAATCATTACAAAGCATTTTCGGTTTCGGTTTTTTGGCCAAGTGCATCCAGAATTTTCGGTTTCCATTTCGGCCCAGAATTTTCATTTCGGTGCATCCCTAGATGTAAGACTACATGTTTTATTT